AGTTGGAGATCATGTTGGGGTAGGAACTTACGTGAATTCTTGCAGACAATGCGAGTATTGTGAAGATGGTCAAGAAGTTTGTTGCACGGGTGGATCCACTAATACTTTTAATGGAATTGATTTTGACGGTACAGTTACAAAGGGAGGATATTCTAACTACATAGTTGTCCATGAGAGGTCAGTTCTAACTCCAACCTATTCTCTTTTATTAATCTGATATCAATTTTACACCATTTCTAAACATCAAATTCAAGTGGGAAATTGTTTAAAAATAGCCGATCCTTATGTGATTTAAGCATTGACTTATGTGATTCAAGTGGTCGAGAATTTTCTCAATTATTTTCAATTCAACTTTCCTAGTCACAAATTGAATTTCAGGTGTCATGGGGGGACTATTCCATAGCCTTAAAAGAAGCATCTTCAATAATTGTACGTTTTTTTTTTTTTTTTTTTTGATAAGGCAACTTGTTACTTTAATAGTTTTTGGTATAACAGTTAATAATATTTCTTATTAGGTATAGATCTATTGTTTTACACTTTGATTAACATTTCATCACATACACGCTTCTATGCAGGAATTACAACTCTTCAAGTTTGCATGAAACTTTTCTGTGCTGTTAGCCTGCTATCAATATTCTTTGTTAAATTTTTTCACGTATTTAATTTTTCTATGGAAATAAATGAATTTGACAGTAGTTTACAAACTATGCGCAAGGAAATTTTTTCCATCACCTTTTAGAAGTCTTAACCTTCGCTATGTGAATCTGAATGTAGTCTACACATACTATCTTATACTTTACAACATAGCTACTTATAATATGATCCTCCAGCGGATGGCAAGCTTGTGCAGATTTACATTTATTTTCTGGTCATTGATCTACAGATACTGCTACAGAATTCCTGAGAATTATCCTTTAGCTTCAGCTGCTCCTTTGCTTTGTGCTGGAATTACAGTTTATTCTCCAATGATTCGTCATAAGATGAATCAACCTGGTAAATCTCTAGGAGTGATTGGGCTTGGTGGTCTCGGCCACTTGGCAGTGAAGTTCGGGAAGGCTTTTGGACTGAATGTGACAGTTTTTAGCACTAGCATATCCAAGAAAGAAGAAGCCCTGAGCGTTCTTGGATCAGACAAATTTGTTCTCTCATCTGATACCGAGCAAATGGAGGTTTTATAGAACTAATTTTCTCTTATGCATCTCATTTTCTTACGTATCAGAATCATCCTCTTACCTGCCCCTTTAATTCCAACCATATTACTCTCAACAGGCCTTGTCCAAGTCCCTTGACTTTATTATCGATGCTGCATCTGGTGATCATCCATTTGATCCATACATGTCTACATTGAAGGTTGGTGGCACTATGGTTCTGGTTGGGTTTCCTTCTCAAGTCAAGTTCAGTCCTGCAAGCCTAAATTTGGGTATGTTTGAGGCAACTGGTTTTAATTAAATATAATGTGTTCATATTCTTCCTCATTTCGAAGAATCTGAAATTGGGGACTTGCGGAATTGTATGAAAATCGACCATCTCTGGCAGGTATGAGAACTATTTCTGGGAGCGTAACTGGAGGCACTCGAGTGACCCAAGAAATGATCGACTTCTGTGCTGCTCATGGAATCTATCCAAACATTGACGTGATTCCAATTCAATACTCTAATGAAGCCATTGAAAGGGTAATAAAAAACGATGTCAAGTACCGATTTGTAATTGATATCCAAGGCTCCCTAAAATGATGTTGAGAGGCAGAGAAAAGGCGATAAGACTGACTTGTCATAGATGGAAGTGGAACACCAGCATGTTATTTCTTCTACGTTTTTGCATTTGTATGTCAAATAAGGATTCACGTTAACTCGTTTGTGTGAAGAAACCTTTGAGATGGGAAAATTTTCGTTTTCATTATGAATTTTGTGATACTGTGGAAAAAAATCGTTACTTTCTGTTGCAGCTCCTCACGCTGTCGGTTCTGTGCAGCCACTGCAGATTTCACATACACACCAGCCGAGGAAACCACATCACACGCGCCGCCAATCTGGTCCGATCTTTCTCGGCTCGCTCTAGTTGGGTTCAATCGGTCTGGTTTAGTCTGTCTTCGATTTCTAACTTTATTTTGAATGGAGCTGATTTTAAATAGGGTTTTAATAGAGTTTTCGTGAACCATAAGCAAAAAAAACTAGATAAAATCAGAGGTTTTTCTTATTTAGATTTACACGTTTTCATTAGTTAGATTGATTTACACGTTTTCATTAGTTAGATTGAAATACCTTTGTTTGACCACACGTCGAGTCGAATGGATTACCAAATAGATATTTAAATAGGTAAATTTGTTCAGAAGAGATCAGCACCGCAAAAGTCTTCAACACTGTTGAAGCCATCAGTGGTATATCCTAAGTTGGAGATAGAGCAACCAATCAACCTCTCGACCAGGTACCTGGACTGGCACCTCGAAGAAGAGGTGGGTGGCCGAACAAGACGTGGAGTCTGAAAAACAATCGGAGTTCAAACAAAATAAGGTAGATATACCATGCCAAGTGCCGGCATTTCCATCATCGCCACAGAGAGGCCGATGTCGTGATGACGGGCGTCGAGTTGTCGTTGAGTGAGTGATCAGGGAGATAACGACCGCCATCGTTTAGTTACTACCCGACCTTGACAACGTCCAATTACAACGAGTGAGCCTTGTTGATGCGCTTCAACCTACCTACAAGCGCAAGGGTTATGGCACGCTGTCGAGTCAGAGGAGGGAGAATAATCGATGATTTTTCAATGCGGATCACGGGGCTTGCCAACAGCGGAAGAAAAATACCGCTTCAGCTATCAATAAGGAGGGTCGTCTACTCCTCACTGAGGAGGAATGGCTTGCACGCCTAAAGCACCCAGCGACAACACCAATGAGAAGGCTCATGTGGCTCAATCCGAAGAGGACGAGCCGACTCTTTTCATGGTAATCGACGACGGCAACTGCTCCGGTGAGCGTCAAACCCGAGGAAGAGCTCCAACTGTGCATAACAAAGACACCGGCTGGGGAGCCAATTCAACTATGAAGGAGGAGCGAGTGTTCGCTCAAATCGGTGAAAGAGGAGAGCTAACTGCTCTGGTGAGCGTCGAACCCAAGGAAGAGCTCCAACTGTGCAAAACAAAGGCACCGACTGGGGAGCCAATTCAACTATGAAGGAGGAGCGAGTGTTCGCTCAAATCGGTGTAAGAGGAGAGCAGCAAGAGCACCGACGATGGGTCATCGACATGGGGAAACCATATGACTGGGGCCAAGTCTGCGTTCTCCGAGCTTGACTCGGGAATTCGCAGGACAGTGAATTTCGGTGATGGCTCTGTCCTCAAAATTGAAGGGCGCGACACCATCCTGCTCATCAGCAAGGGAGACGAGCACCGCGAGCTGACCGATGTCTATTTCATCCCGAGGCTCAGGCTAACCTTGTGAGCCGGGGTCAACTCGATAAGGCCGACTGCCACATTTCCATCAAGCGCGGGCTATTTAGGATCCGCGATGATCGACGACGGTTGCTCACGCAAGTTCGATGCACGGTAAACCACCTTTACATCCTAGAGTTGGAGATAGAGCAACCAGTCAACCTCTCGGCCAGGTACCCGAACTGGCAGCTCGAATAAGACACGTGGAGTCTAGAAGACATGCCAGTACCGGAGGATGGAAGATAGGAAGAGGTGAACCACCTGGACTGGCAGCTCGAAGAAGAGGTGGGTGGCCGAACAAGACGTGGAGTCTGGAAGACAATCGGAGTTCAAACAAAATAAGGTAGATATACCACAAGTTTTAGGAGGAGATAAAACCTGAGGTTTTTCTTATTTAGATTTACACGTTTTCATTAGTTGATTGAATACCTTAGTTTGATCATTTGACAAACAGATCGAATGGATTACCAAAAAGATATTTAAATAGGTAAATCTGTTCAGAAGAGATCAGCACCTCATTCTAAGTAAAAGTTTTCAGCAAATCTCCCTCTCTCTCTTATTTTTCGCATCTTTATTTTCTTCCAACAACTTCTCGTCAAACGATTTTCTCTCACCAAAAAGGATTTCAGTTGCCGATTATCCTTGCCGATTGTCGAAAAACAACAAAAACCTCCTTATTCTTACTTTATCTCATGTTTTAGTGAGATAAGTAGTTTATTGGAGAAATTCGTAAGCTCTGAACGGTGATGATTATGGGTAAGATTAGCATAACTCATCATTTTTTTTAATGTACGATTGAAGTATGAAAGTGCTTATTGTCTGTGGTACCAATTGATGTTCCCGACATATTATACTTATGAAATGTATGTTCTTCTTCAATTATCAAATTACTAAGATAAGATTATTAGAGAGTTGTCAACTAATTGTGAAAATCTATTATGACTAGCCTACGAGTATATCTTAGTTGGTTCAGACACAGAGTTACTCTCACATGTTTATGGTTATTTATATGTCTCTTCATCAATATGAGGTCACTCCCTTCATACTTATGATGTCATCAAAATACTATGATAAAGTTGAGAGTCATCGATTAGAGTTATCATGATCAAAGTATTGTAGTTGGCTGGACAACAATAAGTAATCAATCTTATATATAACACTCAATAGTTTATGGTTGTATGAGGTTTCTTTTAGAATTGATCCTGAAGAAAAGTAATTAGTTAACTATGATTTTTGAAATTGTCTTTTGAAAAAATTAGGTACATTTTTTAACTCACATTTTATCCTAGTATGATTTGTCTTAACTGACGTATTGCTTGGCTTTATACATTCTTCCGAGGAGTATAAAAAATAAGATTTAAACTTCGAACATTTGTCAAAAATATAATATCTAAACTAACATAAATTTCTTCCGTCACTTAGAACTTTTACTCTCATTATCTAAACTAACATAACTTGCGTCATTGTCCCATAGAAACAAAAACAAAAATATCTTTCAACCATGCCAGCACTAACCAAATAACCAACGGTCTAAAAAGTACAGACATTTTAGCATCAAAGTATTTTAACTGAAATTTGAAGAAAAGAACATCTGTAGGCTTACATCATTATCAGTAACACAAATCAATTTAAACAATTCCTTTGAATTAGAAACCAAATTTGAACGCCAATACAGACTCCTAACTGTTATAATAACTAAAAAATGAAAAGAACTTAGTACTCCATTACTAGAACATATTTTTCTTTACAGCGCCATTTCAAAGCACATTCAACACAAAAGCCCTAAAGTACAAAGCAGGAAACAGCAGCCAACTTACATTGCATAAGCTCCCTCCTGAACAACTGAGTAACCCGAGAATGAACTCATTCCCAATCTTCAACTTCTTCATTGTCTTCCATGTTGTACCGGCTGAAGTGTTCAACCCTGAACTTCCATTCCCCTTTCACTGGGTCGTGGGATACAAACTCAGCGCCTTGAGCCTCCGTCTTCTTCCTTAACAACTCCTTATACTTCTCAACTTTAGGCCCTTCAGTATATTGATGCCCGGTTTTCTTGTCGAAGCATTTGATGTTGAGTATTGTTACTTCAGCAGGTTTATTCAGACCTTGCCCACGAGGGGGCTTTTTACTCTCGTCCAAGTAGACAATCACCTCACGGTTGTTAAACTGGACAATGGACTCCAAATCAAGCCTTCGCACGTCGGTCTCACCAAAGAATTTGATGCTTCCAAAACCATGGCGACCCACCACAAAATCTTCAACATGACGGCAAAACCCAGGTTCGGCCCTTTCTTTGGCAGCTAATTCTTGCATCTTTGGCTCTGTATAATAGTCTGAATGCCGAAGCTTTGGCATTAATGCTTCAATATCTGCCCCATGTTCATAAACAATGGCGGCCTCACCAGCTCTATGCCCTCCAAAAGTCCTGTAAAAATCCTCCTTTGGGGCAGAGTGATCCTCATGAACCCCATTGGGTTTTTTATTTACTTTGTTAGGATGGATGTTGTCTTTGCTAGTACCATTCTCAACAACATTTCCTGCAAAAAAGAAATCGATAAAACTCATTTAACATGAAAAAGTGAAGCTCCTACTGCTATGATGCATTTCCACAAACAAAGCATGATGATCTTAAAACCAAATTGTTCACAAAGCTATGTGCATAGCGGAACCTTTTTCTTTATGTAGAAACTCCAACAAAGACGTTAGAGACTCCAATTTTATAAATAGATTCCACCACAAAATAATTCATAAGAACAATAAGCTAGAGAAATTGAAATCAGACGTTAAAAGAAGAAATAAGAACTTGTTCGTTGAGGCGTGTGGAAAGGAAAAATGGAACAGAGAAACTGAAAATATACAAAATTTCAAAAGGGCAAAACTAACCATTGGTATCCTTCAAATTGTTGACAACCATGGAGGAAGTGCCTTCAGCAATCTTACCTGGAAAAAATTAAGATTTGCTAGTCAACAACATATTAAACTTAAAATTTCATTACACCTCACAGGACCACAGGCCATTACATCTTAGCAAAAAAATAAAAAAAGAAAAAGAAACTATACTATCATGCTTGGTAACAGTTAACATTACATTGTCATAAAAGTAAAAAACGTTTAAGAGTAGAAAAACTTCAGAGGCAGAAATTATAGGGGCGCTTTTGGACATTTTGTATGCAAATAATGTAGAGAGGAAAACTGCCAAATGCCATATAAAAACTAAGTGTATAACTTAATTTCCGTAAATTAAATGTTCAATTTTTTTACTTGGGGAATTTAATGAACTTAGAGAAAAAAGATCGATTTTATAACTAAATAATAATCTGAATCACATTTTACAGATATCCTAGCCAAATACCACCTAGCTATCGACAAATCAACAATATGAAAAAACATTATTTTACAATGCAGTTTATAAAATAGTCCATAAGAAGAAAATCATAATTCACCGAATAAAGTAAAAGCAAAAAGTTCTAAGACTATCTTAATTAATCTTCCAATAGATAGACTTGTTAGGTACGTATCTGACTTCTAATTTGTTGTTTCATATTTTATTGAATCAAATAAATTTAGTGAATTTAAGTTTAGTTTAGTGAGTTTATTTCTAAAAACAGTATTTGGATTTGGATTTTTAGGACTCAAACAGTAAAAACTTTAAAAACAACATTTACATGGGTTTTAATATTTTAAAATTCTAAACATATTACGAACAATATTAAAAATAATGAAAACATAACTCTGTTTCTATTAAATCTATTGTTTTAAATTCATGGATCATGATCACCAACCAAACAAACCTTTTAAGTGTTCTCAACTGTGAAACCTGAACAGTGGAAGGCACTAAACAAAAAAGTCATACCATTTTCACGCACTGAGGTATCCTTCGATGGCAATACTCTCTCTGAACTGGCCCTTGAAGGCCACTGATCTGTGGGACGAATAACCAATGCTCTAGGGTTCTCTCTCGGAATAAAAAGAGCATCCGCCTTTGGAGTGCTTGGTGTCTCTTCATCTTCACTGAAGAATGGAACCTATAAAGCACAGAGCTATAAGTAGTCTATAGATACGAACATTCAAGTGAGGCACCATTTCAGTAACCACCAGCCCTGGTAAAATGTGGGGAAGGGGAAAAGGAAAATGATTAACTATAGTAGAAGATACTCATACCCTTGGGTGGCCATCATTCTTAGGATTATATTTTCTTGCAGGCAATCTCATTCGTCGGTGAGACAGGTGGCGGGGTGTCAAGAAGGATGATATTCTCACAGGAGCAGCTTTATCAACAACCTGCATGAGCAAAATCAATTAATAGAGAGTATAAAAAAACAGCACCAAACAACATTCTTCCTGCAGATTTTAGTGATATAGGCAACAAAATTAGACACCATTGATCTAAATCCACTCAAACTTCAGTAAATAAAAACAAGTCCAATTTACCGGCATGCTGGAAATTCCATATTGAATAGAAGGTGCTGCCCCTGGTCTACTAATTGACATCTGTGGCATTGCAGGGAGTGTCCCAAATGGATTTGTGGCCGGTGCTGGTTGTACGATGGGGTTTTGAGTGATAGGCCTACGAAGTACATGCATGCAAATTACCGATACATGGCAATGAATATGTAGACAATAAAGACTGAATGTTTTATGCATACACGAAAAAGAAAATGGTGGAAAAAAAAAAAAGCGAAAATCCATCCAATAAAAATAGAAAAGAAACATAAACAATACTAATAAAAACCAACTACTGAAACTGAATTCATAAATTCAGATTTAATTAATTAAGAAGTACAGCACATTAGAATTTAGAACTTTTCCAGTGAAATGAACTATTGGTGCCTGATGCAAATATTACTATAACATTTAAGGGACATTTGGTAAAGAATTAAAAAGAAAGTTGATAATTTCAGAAACAAACATATCATAGGATAAACATCAAACTTTATTGGCCATGCTCTTTAAACAAATCTGGGTACAAGCTAGATAGGAAAGAAAAACAAATACTTGTCCCCCACATATCTTAAACAAGTTAGTTTGCTCATTCTCTACTGCTTTGTCACCTGTTTTGAAGAGCAATTCTTTTTAATGAGAAATCAAGATTGAGAAAGATGAAAGAATATAAAAGAAAACAAAGAAAAAGGCCCAAAATAAAAGGAGCCTGCATGCAGGAAACTAATTCCAAAAAGTGGAAAGTTAAGAATCTTTAGCAGAGGTGCATTTGAGGACCTAGACCATGTCTTGAGGAGATAGCACTTTACCCAGTCAATTTGGTGCAGGTTTTTCATGTTTTTGGTGTCTCAATAGCATGGAGTAGGGAGCGGGGGATGTTTGAGGAGATTTCGATGAATCTCCCTTTAGAGGAAAGGAAAAATTCCTTTGGTACGTTTGGTTTTTGCTATTATGTAGGGGATTTGGCTTGAGGAATCTTAAGAGTTTTTGGTGAGGGTGTGAAGTCAAAGGGAGAGTAGAGGTAGTTGATTAGGTTTAACGTCTCAATAAGTGCTTCTAAAGTACGGTTTTTTTTTTTTTTTTTTTTTTTTTTTTTTTTTTTTTTTTTTTTTTTTTTTTTTT